AGAGACATACTGTGATCATGGATTGGAAATGTAACATAATAAAGATATCAATTATCTCCAAAGTGATCTATGGACTTAATGCAATGGCTACCAATATCTCAGTAGGATTTTTTTTAAAAAGATTTTATTTATTTATTTGTCAGAGAGAGAAAGAAAGAGCACAAGCAGGGGGAGTGGCAGGCAGAGGGAGAAGCAGGCTCCTCGCTGAGCAAGGAGCCCGATATGGGACTTGATCCCAGGACCCTGGGATCATGACCTGAGCCAAAGGCAGATGCTTAACCGACTGAACCACCCAGGTGTCCCTCAGTAGGATTTTATTTTTGTAGATATAAACAAGCTGATGCTACAATTTATATAGAAGAATAGCTAAAACAATTTTGAAAAAGAACAAAAATGAAGGGATCACACTACCAAATTTTAAGACTCATTATAAAGATACAATAATCAAGACATGATATCGGTAAAGGGATAGACAAGTAGATCAATGGAACAGAATAGAGAGTCCAGAAATAGGCCCACAAAAATATGGCTGTTTGATCTTTGACAACAGTGCAAAAACAATTCAATGAGTGATAGCCTTCTTTAAAAATGAATGTTGAATATGCAACTAAAAATAAACCTTGACCTAAACTTCACACTTTATGTAAAGATGAACTCAAAGTGGATCATAGTTCTAAATGTAAAACATAAAGTTATAAGACTTTTAGAAGAAAACATAAAAGAAAATCTTTGTGACCTGGGGGTTAGGTGAAAGTTCTTATATATGATAGGAAAAGCACAATCCATAAAAGGAAAGAAAATGGATAAATTGGACTTCATCAAAACTAAAACCTTTTGTTCTGTCAAACACACTATCAAGAGAATGAAAAGATAAGCTACAGACTGAGAGAAAATATTTGCAAACCACATATCTGACAAAGGACTTGTATCCAGAATATATAAAGAAGTCTCAAAAATTAACAATAAGAAAATAAAAATTTTTTTCCACTTAAAAAATGGGCAAAGGAGTTGAACAGGCACTTCACTACAGAGGATATGAGGGTAGGGGTGCCTGGGTGGTTCAGTTGGTTGAGCGTCCGACTCTTGGTTTCAGCTCAGGTCATGATCTCAGGGTCATGAGATTGAGCCCCACGTGGGGCTCTGTGCTCAGTGCGGAGTCTGTTTGAGATTCTCTCTCCCTCTCCCTCTGCCTCTCCAGCTAATGCTCTTTCTCTCTCTCTAAAATAATAAATATATAAATATCTTTTTAAAAAGGATACGAGGAGAGCAAACATGAACATGAAAAGATGTTCAACCTCATTAGCCATAGGGAAATACAAATGAAAACCACAGTGAGACATCACTACATACCTCTTAGAATGGCTACAATAAAAGATAATAAAAACTGGCCTTCATCAAAATGAAGAATTTTGCTCTGTAAATACTCTGTTAAAAGGATGAAAAGACAGGCTACAGATTGGGAGAAAATATTTACGAAACACAAAAGACAAAGGAATAATATCTAAAATACATAAATAACTCTTGAATCTGAACAGTGAAAATGCAAATAATCCAATTAGAACACGAGCAAAAGACAAGAAGAGCCATTTCATTAAAATATACAGGTGGGGAATTAGCAAAGGGAAAGATCTTAAACATCATTACGCATTAGGGAAAGGCAAACTGAAACCACAATGAGGTCTCAGACACCCCTACTAGAATGGCCAAAAAAAAAAAAAAAAGTAGCGACAACACCAAATGCTAGTGAAGATGCAGAGCAACTGGATCACTCATAGATTGTTGGTGGGAATATAAAATGATACAACCATTCTAGAAAAAAGCCTGGCAGTTTCTTAAAAATCTAAAGATACAACTATTCTAAAATCCCAAAACCGTGCTCCTGGACATTTATCCCAGAGAAATGAAGACTATGTTCATTAACCTATGTACAAATGTTCATAGCAGCTATATTTGTAATAGCCAAAACCCAGAAACAATCCAGATATACTTTAAGTGTGCATGTTTAAATAAACTATGGTGCATTCATACCATGGAATACTACTCAGTAATAAAAAGGAAAAAAACTACTGATACATACAAAAACCTAGATGAATCTCCAGAGAATTAAGAAGAGTGAAAAAAAGGCAATCTCAAAGAATTACAAACTGTATGACTCTATTTCTATAAATTTCTTGAAATGATAACATTCTAGACATGAAGAACAGATTAGTGGTTGCCAGGGTTAAGGAGGGGATGGGGGCAAGGGGCAAGTGGGGGTAACTATAAAAGGGCAACGTGAGGGATCCTTGTAGTGGTAGAAATGTTCTGTATCTTGACTCTATCAATGTTAATATCCTGGTTGTGAGACTGAACTATAGTTTTTAAGGTGTTACCACTGGGGAAATGGAGAAAGGATACAAGGAATATCTCTGTAGTTTCTTACAAATGCATGTGAATCTATATTTTTTAAAAGATTTATTTATTTATTTGAGAGAGAGAGAGAGAGAGCACAAGTGGGAAGGAAAGGAGGGAGAGGGAGAGAGAGAATCTCAAGCAGACTCCACGCTGAACATGGAGCCCACATGCGGCTCAATCTCATGACCCTGAGATCATGACCTGAGCTGAAACGAAGAGTCGGACACTCAAACAACTGTGTCACCCAGGCACCCTTGAGAATCTATAACTATCTCAAAATAGGAAGTTTAATTAAAGAATACAGACAACATCAAGTGAAGGGCGTGGAGGAACTAGAATTTTCTACATTGTTGGTAGGAATGAACAATGGTAGGTACAGCCGCTCTGGAAAACAGTTTGGCAGTTTCTTATGATGTTACACACACAGCTACCATATGACCAACAATACCACTCCTGGGTATTTACCTTAGAGAAATGAAAACTATGTTTTCCGAAAAACCTGTACCTGAATGTTCATGGCAATTTTGTTTGTGACAACCGAAAACTAGACATGATCTACCAACAAGTGAATGGGTAAAGCAGCTGTGGTACAGCCACATGCAATGAACAATTACTCAGCCATGAAAAGGAACAAGCTTTCTGTGCATATTACAACTGCCATTAATTTCAAAGACATCATGCTGAATTGAAGAAGCCAGCCTTCGAGAGTTACAGACTGTCTGAGTCCATTTAGATCATATTCTCAAAAAGACAAAACTGTGGTGATAGAGAACAGATCAGTGGTTGTCAGGGGAGGATGGGACTAAAAGGAATGGCATAAGAGTGTTTTGGGGCCGATAGAACTGTTTGTATCTTCATTGTGTTGGTGGTTACATAAATTCATACGTGGGTTTAAATTTATAGACTTAAACACCAAAAGGATGCGGCGCCTGGGTGGCTCAGTCGTTGGGCGTCTGCCTTCGGCTCAGGTCATGATCCCAGGGTTCTGGGGTCGAGCCCTGCATCGGGCTCCCTGCTCGGCGTGAGGCCTGCTTCTCTCCCTCTCCCACTCCCCATGCTTGTGTTCCCTCTCTCGCTGTCTCTCTCTCTCTGTCAAATAAATAAATAAAATCTTAAAAACACACAAAAAAACAAAAAACAAATAAACAAAAAAAACCCAAAAAGAAAAAAAGTCAATTTTACTCCAAGATAATTAATTATTTAAAAAGGGATCCCTTTTCTCCAACTAACAGCCTTGTGCCAGAGTTGGATGTTAGCTACCACTTGCCCTTTGCTCGGCCTCTTTCGTGCTTTGTATGACCTGTACCGTTACAGGTTTCAAACCTGTCTGATTGGTCCCAGAAGAATAAAGGAATAGTGTTTAAATACTGTGTGGGGAATTGCAAACTACTATGAGTAAAGGATTAATAAAATCTTTTCTCTTTGTCTGTGGATAAATTTGATATTGGGTTAACTTTCTAGCTGTTTCTTTGGAAACCTGGTAAAGGTGAAATGTCATCTGTTACCAGCCAACATTGGTTATGGCAAAAATGAGCCTGACTAGGGCGCCTGGGTGGCTCAGTTGGTTAAGCGACTGCCTTCGGCTCAGGTCATGATCCTGGAGTCTCTGGATCGAGTCCCGCATCGGGCTCCCTGCTCAGCGAGGAGCCTGCTTCTCCCTCTGACCCTCCCCCCTCTCATGTGCTCTCTCTCATTCTCTCTCTCTCTCAAATAAATAAATAAAATCTTTAAAAAAAAAAAAATGAGCCTGACTAGTCTACTATATCTGGACCAAGATGATCGGTGAATGAAGGATAAATATCCAGTGGGAATTGTTAGCTTTGAGCTGCTCTGAGCACAATAACTCTTGTAACTGGGCATGCCATTTGTGGGACCCTGGAAGCAACAGTTACGAGAATTACAAGAGATGTTGGTTCCTATTCGGGAAATGCGGCTTCTAAAGCCCATAAAACTCCTGTGCCTCTGTGGTGATCTTGTTGTCTTCTATCTGAACTGCCACTTGGGAGACCAAAGAGTGGCCCCTGGACCGCTTTGTGTGTAACTTACTGAAGAGATGCTAGCATGCTATGTTTCCTATCTTTTACCTTCCTAAGGAAAACCAATGCCAACTGAGGTCTATTGTAGTTGTGTGAGTATGAAATGACTAATTAAGCAAAAAAACCCCACAACCATTGAATGGGCATTGCAAATACTCTTGAAAGTATTCTATCTAAACTAACTGAGTTTTTTTTTTAAAGATTTATTTGAGAGAGCAAGTGAGTACTGGGTGGGGGAGGGGCAGAAGAGAGGGAGAATCTCAAGCTGACTCCCTGCTGAGGGCAGAACCTGACATGAGGCTCGACCCCACAACCCTGAGATCATGACCTGAGCTGAAACCAAGAGTCAGACGTTTAACCGGCTGAGCCACCCAGGCACCCCAAAACTAACTGAATCTTTAGGAACCACCCTGGAAGAGTTAGAAATCTGGCAGGTAAGGGAACAGATGGTAGTAATGTGAATGGAATTCACCTATTTTTTCTATTCATCTAACACAGGTAATTGTTTACTCTGGGTGAGCAGACAAGGTCTGATAGGTTGTGGGTGAAAAGGCTTCGAATGTTCCTTACCTTGGGGAATTTGCACAAGGCCAACAGTTAGACCAGCAAGTAAGTCTCCAAGAAGCCAATCCTTGAACCGATACAAACACATCCACTCCAGGAAAGGAAAAATCGTTAGTATGCATCTTAGGAACTTGTGCCATGAGCAGCTGTGAGGAAGAAGAACAGAGACTTGATAAGATTTTCCAAAGAAAAAGCCCACATAGCCAAGAAAAGACCCAGTGCATAATTGTTCCCATACAGCAGAATTTCTTGTCCGCACTACTGACATTTTGACATAGTGGACTAGATAATTCTATGTTGTGGTGGGTGTGTCCTGTGTACTGTAGGATGGTTAGCAGCATTCCTGGCCTTTACCCACCGGATGCCAATAGCATCCCCTCCCCTGGTTGTGACACACCAAAATGTCTCCAAACATTGCCAAATGTTCTGTGGGGGACAAAATCACCTCTGGTTGAGAACCAAATGCCATATATATATATGACAAGAACTAAGCCTTATAGTCTAGCATACAAACAGGATGTTTGGAAAGAATTAAACCTACCAATTTTCCAGTAGAAAAATGGACTGTTACTGCTTTCTCTTGATAAGGACAGTGTTTTGCGATGTGATATTGGTGGGAGGCAGGGGCCATTAACACATCCACATCATTCCCATATACCAGTTTTCTTTACTGAACATTAACTCTATGTGGCTTTGATCTGTAGTATGTAGAAATTTATAGAAAAGGTAGGTAATGGAATCCTGGGTTTTAGGAGTTAGCCGTATAAAGAAAAAGCAATAAAATAAAGCTTTTTTTTATCCTTTACCCTAGTGGACATCAATCAGAACAAATTTTATTATCCAGGGGACATTTGGCAAAGTCTGGAGACATTTTTGGTTGTCATACTGAGGGAGAGGGTGCTATTGGTATCTGGTGGGTAGAGGCCAGGGACGTTGCCACACATCCTATATAGTGCATAGGACAGCCCCCTCACCAGAGGTCCAAAATGTTAATGATGCTGAGATTGAGAAAACCTATATCAACCTTTAAATCATCTAAAACAGCAGAACCACTGTTAATCAGTCAGTCAATTGGTTAATCAATCAACCAGTAAAACTAATTTGGTTTTAAATTGCCTTTCGTTATTTACATCTTAGTATGGGCTGAAAGCAAAAAGTATGAAGGCTTTTCATGTATGAGCTATAGTTGGATAACTGGGATTTGACTATAGCAACAAATAGAACTTTAGTGTATGCAAAGCTAAAATGTGTGCTCACAAAGAATTTCACATGCTTGACTCTCACAACTATGAGCATTACTATCCTAAGGTAATTGAGGCCAAATAAGTGTAAGTGATTTTTCCAAGCCCCAGAGCTAGGGCTACAAACCAGGGCTTCTGATTCCTACTTCAGTGTTCTTGCCAATCTATTACCACCATAGTTCATATCGACAGCTATTAAATTCTGTTTGGGAGCCAGGACAAAGACCATTGGTTTGGAAGGAACTTCACATTGCTATTTTTATGAGAGTCCCAGGATGTTAGGCAAGGATACCCACTGTATTCTCTCCAATTATGACCCCCAAAGGAGAGAACAGAGCATGTCATGGGGACAATTTGTTCCTTCATCTGGTCCTGTCTCTCCTTCTCTCCATGTGCCACTGGGCAGAAGACAAGCCACCCAAGGCAGAGTCATCAAAGCTCTTTAGCATGGGAAAAAAAAAATACAGTGGACATGGAATGATGAGGATCTAGAACTGAAAGAAAAGCAAGGAAGGAGCTAGAGGGATAGGAATTGAAGCCAGTGGGGGAACAGTAGAAGCATTTCAACACGAATCTGGATTTTACTCAAGGCATCTTAAAAGTGAGGAATGTAAGAGTCAATGTGAAAGCACAGGGCACATTTTGACAAGAAAGGGAGTATTTGTAGTTGCTAATGGAAAGGGAGAAGATGAGGAAAGAGATGAGGTTTTCTGTAGAAAAGAAGAGGTGGTTGTGGCGCCTGGGTGGCTCAGTTGGTTGAATGTTGACTCTTGGTTTCAGCTCCGGTCATGATCTCATGGGTCATGAGATCAAGCCCCATGTCAGGCTCTGTGTTCAGAGAGGAGTCTGCTTGAAGATTCTCTCCTTCTGCCCCTCCTCCCACTTGCTTTCTTTTTCTCTCTCTCAAATAAATAAATAAATCTAAAAAAAAGAAGAGGTGGAGTTCAAAGATTTTTTTTTTTAACTAAAAACCCCCACCTATATAGTGTTTTTTATTTGCTAGGTGCCTTACAAATACTCTTTACATCCTCACAACCAAGTAGATGCTGGTATCATCCCCATCTTTACAGATGGGGAAACTGTGGCAAAGTAGGGTTAAATAGCTTACCTAAGGTCACGCAGTTGGGAAGCAGCAGAACTGGGATTCAAATCCAGACAATCTGGCTTCTGAGCCTTGCTCTTAACCACAGAATTATGCAACCTTTCATGTTAAAAATCCAAAAGTGGATACAATTGTGCATTTCAGAAATAAGGAATAAGAACGGCTAGAAGAGCCCATGGGACGCAGAATTGATCAGATTTAAGTGTCTGAGGATAGGACAGGTTGGGGGGGGTAGGCTGAAATTTCTTTGGTAGTACCTTCTTATGATGAAGTAAAAGTCAGGAAAAGACTCTCCTTTTGTAGAGACAAAGTCAATGTGACCCTAAATCCCCTCTTTGACATATGACCTCTGACCTATCTGGAGTAGAGAACATGAGAATAGTGATGTAGGACTGGAGAGAGTCTCCAAGACCATAACTTTACAAAAGGCAGGATATGGACAAAGGAGAATGCCTCAGAGAAGGAAGGTCCACAATAGGGCTGTGTGGAGGACTTCTATCTTATTACCCAACACAGGCCAACCATGGTGATAAATCAAGGGATGAGAGAGACTGATAAATCCCAAGTTTGAGTGGGAACAACTTGAATACTTAGGGTTGATATAATGATGTAGGTTACAAAGGTCCTTAACCTGAGGCCTATGGACACCCCCCTCCCCATGGGTCTGTAGATAGAATTTGTAGGTATGTGAATTTAGGAAAAATTATACCTTTATTTTCACTACCTCCTAACTGAAATTTAGCATTTCTGTCAATTATGAATATTGACAACAAACCACTGTAGGATCGGCAGAACCTGACTTTGTTACCAATAGAAATCACAATATTTTCATATTACATTTTTTAAAATTGTTGCAGAGATCTTAAGATATTATTTATGTTCATCACTACCTTGAAATTATGGTAGTTATTAGATCCACATTATTAAATAACATAATTGTGGCATTTTAAAGTATTCTGATAACTATATTTCAACCTAACTGGTTTCCCTTATAATCCTATGTATTTTATGCATGAAAAGAATATTTTGGACAAGACAACACCATTCAATGAGGGAAAGAACTGTCTCTTCAACAAATGGTTCTGGGAAAATGGGCTCTCCACATGGAAAGAATTAAGTCAGACCCTAACTTTATACCATATACAAAATTAACTCAAAATGGATCAAGAATCTAAATTTAAGAGCTAAAACTATAAAACTCATATAAGAAAACATAGAGGAAAATCTTCATAATCTTGATTTTCACAGTAGTGAAATATATGTATATATATCAAAGATGACACCAAAATCACAGGCAACAAAACAAGAAAATGGATAAACCAGATCTCATGAAAATTAAAAACTGTTGTGTACCAAATGACACTATCAACCCACAGAAAAGACGATCCACAGAATGGGAGAAAATATTTGCAAATCATATATATGATAAGGGTTTAATATCCAGGATATATAGAGAACTACTACAACTCAACAATAAAAAGACAACCTAATTTTAAAAAGGGCAAAGGAGGTAAATAGACATTTCTTCAAAGAAGGTATAAACAGCCAGTAAGCACATGAGGAGATCTCAAAGTATTTAGTTATTAGGGAAATGCAAAAAACCAAACCAAACCAAACTCCACAATGAGATACCACTTCACGCCTAATAGGATAGCTATAATTTAAAAAAAAAAAAAAAAGGAAAGGAAAATAACACAAGCTGAAGAGGATACAGAGCAAAAACACTTGCACATTGCTAGTGAGAATGTACAGTGGTGTAGCTTGTATGAAAAAGTTTGGTAGTTCTTCAAAAAATTAAACATAGAGTCACCATAAGATCCAACAATTCTACTTTCAGTTATTTACCTGGAAGAGTTGAAGACATGTTCTCTAACAGATACTCCTATGCCAATATTCATGGCAGCATTATTCACAATAGCCCAAAGTGAAAACAACCCAAGGGTGCACCAACAGATGAATGGATAAGCAAAATACGTTATTTACATACAATGGGATATCATCTTCCATAAAATGAAATGAAGTACTGATCCATGCTACAACATAGTGCAAGTTTGAAAACATGATGCTAAGTGAAATCAACCAGATAGGAAAGATAAAAATTACGTGATTACACTTAAACGAAATATCTAGAACAGGCATAGAGACAGAATGTAGAGGAGAGGTTACCAGGGGTGAGGAGGAGGGGAAAAATGGGGAATTATTGCTTAATGAGTACAGAGTTTCTGTTTGGGGTGATGAGAAAGTTTTGAAAACAGTGGTGATTGTTGCAGAACATCATGAAATGTCATTAATGCTGCTGATTTGTACATTTAAGACTGGTTAAAACGGCCACTTTTCTGTTATATGTATTTTACCATAATTTTTTTAAAGTTAAAAAAAAAATTATTCTGAAAAGATGTCCGTAAGCTTTACCAGCCTGCTAAAAGGTTCATAGCACAAAAACAGGTTAAGGGCCTCTGAACCGTAGGATCCACATAGTCCTGGCGGCTCTCCGAGGCAGTGAGTTCTACATTGTACGATTGTACAACTACAAATACTACATAGGCACCAAGGGATATGAGGTTAGAAGGATCTTCTTCTGCTACCACTAGTTAGTCCACCATCGCTGCTTTTGTTGTTGTTAAGAGACTGGTAATAGTAGTTAATCAAACAATGTATTTATTAAATATCATCCTTAGATGCTGTCAGGGACATCCAAGGACTTTGTGCCCAAGAAATTTATAATCAACAGGGTGCGACAGGACAAACCATACGCAGACAAACAACTGAAGAAAAATCACACAGCAACCTACGGGTCCCGATGACAGGAATTCAGAGGAGGAGGACAGAACCAGGCGCCAAAGGAGTAAAGTAGAATTTTGGTGCTGCCAGCCGGAAGGCAGCTGAATGACCCCCCCACACCCACCGGCACTGGACGTGGTGTCTGAAGGTGGTGATGTCGATGTCCAAGTTCCCAGAGGAAATACTCTTCCTTCTGTGTTCCTGTTGAAAGATCTCCTCATTGTATATATCTCGCTTGACATCATATGTAAAAGAATTTTGCCTGTGTTTATAGCCAGAACCCTGGGTGCTCCTCTCTGGTTGCAACATTCCTGGTTGAGTGGGAAGAGATCAAAGAAAAAACAATTTTAAAAAATCTAGATTCTTGGCACATTTTTATGGAAATAAAATTTCCATATAGTGGTATCTTATATTTGCATAACACATTGCTGTCTTTTTTTTTTTTTAAGATTTTATTTATTTATCTTTTTGTGTGAGAGAGAGAGAGCACAAGCAGGGGGAGTGGCAGGCAGAGGGAGAAGCAGGCTCCCCGCAGAGCAAGGGGAGCCCAATGCGGGACTCGATCCCAGGACCCTGGGATCATGACCTGAGCTGAAGGCAGACGCTTAACCGACTGCGCCACCCAGGTGTCCCAACACACTCCTGTCTTAAAAAACTTTCTCTTATATAATTTTATACTCAAAGCCACCCTATAAAAAATGCAAGGTGTGTATTAGTCTCATTTTCGAAATGGGGAAACCTAAAAGTTTCAACAGCCTTGGCTGTTTAATAATTAGAGTCAGGACTAGAACCCAAGTGTCTTGCTAGGAAACCTAGTTTTCTTTATGTTCAATTATGTTGTCATGTTGCGGGGCAAATGATTAAGAGGTAAAAGTCAGTATAACCATCAATTTTCACTGGAAACACTGAAGATGAAGTGGTCGATACAGTATCTTCTTCCCTTTATCCTTTCCTTCTCTTCATAGCACTTGTTAGGACCTGATTCAATATTTGTCTATTGTCTGTTTCCCACACTAAAATGTAAGCCCATGAGGCAGGACTTTGTTCATGGCTGTATCCCCAGGTGCCAGAATATTACCTGAAAGTACCCAATTAGTAGCACCCTGGTGCAGCAGAAAAAAACTTTGCACAGGCTGTCAGGAGACTGGGGTTCCAGCCCTGGCAGTTGTTCTAACAAGCTATATGATTAGGGGCAAGTGTCTGAGTGTCAGTTTCCTTCAGTTTTATGCATAAAATAACATGGCTGGAACACATGGTCTCTAAGGGTTACATTAAGCTTTAAAAATCTATATCATCCTCTCTTTTAGGAAAATGAGAAGGGGGAGTTACTGAGGATGGCTATAGATCCATTTCTGGGAGAAAGGATAATCATTTTTGATCATCTATGGTTTTTTTTTTTAAGATTTTATTTATTTATTTTAGTGAGAGCGTGGAAGAGTGTGGGCAGGGGGATGGGCAGAGGGAGAGGGAGAAGGAATCCCAAGCTGACTCCTTGCTGAGAGTGAGCCTGATGCAGGGCTCCATCTCACGACCCTGAGATCATGACCCGAGCAGAAATTGGGAGTCAAATGCTTAACTGACTGAGCCACCCAGGTGCCCCTCAAGTAGTCCTTTTATGGGTAAAGCTAAAAACAAGTTTAATGTATCAGCAACTTTCTTTTCCTTCAAAATGATCATGTATCATCATCATCATCATCACCAGTATTTAGAGAGCACTTACTATATACCAAGCATTGCACCTGATTTTTTTCATGAGTTATTTCACATAATTTCCATGACAATCCTAGTACTGCTATTATCCTCATTTTATGGGTGATAAAACCAATCAATTACTTTACACATTTTGAAAAGTTAACTAACTGGGCCATAGACATAGATTGTATTTTTACCCTCAAAGCACTGGGTAGCAGTCGTGTGTTGTATAACACCTATGTGTATAACACTAAAGATCACAGATTCAATGAAGTGAGAAGATTGGGGAATATAGAAGAGGATGGAAGAAGTATTTTACAATGTATCACTTAAGAGAATTAGTAATTTGTGTTTTTCACAGAAAAAACAGAACTGTACATTAAAACGGGTAATATTTTTCCTTTTCTTCCCCCACCCAGAGGAATATTCATCCAGTCTTCCTCACTTTTCCCAAGTTATCTTTTTTTTTTTTTTAAGATTTTATTTATTTATTTATTTGACAGAGAGAGA